TGGAGGACCAGAGCTATGAGACAAGGAGGAGGGGGGGGGATGGAGGACCAGAGCTATGAGACGAGGAGGAGGGGGAGGGGATGGAGGACCAGAGCTATGAGACAAGGCTTCTGACCTTAAACATGTTTACGCTGGAATTAAGGAGAATAAGGGGGATATGATTTTCATGTACAAGATGTTCAATTGTGACAGCAACATTGGCAACGAACTGTTTGAGATTAACTCCATTACAAAGACTAGAGGCCGCCACCTAAAGTTGGTGGAGAAAAAATTCCAGCACAATGGGCGAAGAGGGTTCTTTACAGTAAGAGCGGTCAGGGTCTGGAACTCGCTGCCATCAGCCAAGAGTGTAGATTTGTTCAAGAAACTTTTGGACGATTTCCTGAGGGACCGTAATATTCAGTGATACAAGCAGGGGTGTAACTATAAATCACAGGGCCCCTAGCAAAATTTTGTATAGGGCCCCTTTGATCTCTAGTTACGCCCCTTGCAGAGCCCAATTGAGATCCCACACAGCCCACCTGAGGGTGACCCTGTAGAGCCCACCGTAGACTCTCTAAGGTGGGCTCTGCAGGGTCACCCTCAGGTGGGCTGGTCACACTCCTTACCTGTCCGACTCCTCTTCCTCCACCGTCGGTGATGAGCTCCACCCGCCCTCGTCGCCGGGCCACACCTCCTCCTCTGATGCCAACCCCCTGGCCCCGCCTCCCCCTCCACTGCTGGGTCCAGCCTGTTCCACCGCCGCTGCCGGCTCATTGTCAGTGACCTGAACAGCGGCGCATTTCTCTTCACAGCCGCCAGTGACAGACAGCAGCGTGAGACGCCACAGCGGCCTGCAGGGCCCCGGGCCCCATAGCGGCCGCCTGGGTCGCTATGGTGATTGTTACGCCACTGGATACAAGTATTCCTAAGAATGGGTTGAGCGCGGACCTATATGGGTTGGACTTGATGGACTTATGTCTTTATTCAACCCCAAATACTATGTAACTATGTACAGAGTGGATGTATCTGTAAAAAATAATTCAAGGCGACTGGACTTGCTGTATTTTTCTTGAAGACGTTTCACTGGACATCCGACCAGCTGAATTGAGAAAGCTGGTCGGATGACCAGTGAAACGTCTTCAAGAAAAATCCAGTTGCCTTGAATAATTTTTTGCAGCTATACCACGTGACCCGGAGGAATGAGAACCTTCACAGACATACAGAGTGGATGGTGGAGATATAAAGGAGATTGCACAATCAGATTGAAGGGCGAGATTTAAGAAGACAGTTGTAAGTCCTATACAATGCCTGGAGTAGTGTCAGTCCCGGTATCCAGATAGCAGCCAATACAGAGCTACAGGTTCCAGCAATCCCAGAGCTGTGAAAGCGGCACACAGCCAATATAGAAGTCCCAGCAGTCCTTAAAGGTACAGAACAGTGATAGATCAGGGACTTTTAGGGCAGAGCGGTGTTTTGGGGGTTAACACACATGGTCCCCTGCGCAGATGTTTCTACCATTTGACAGGCGGGGGCCCCTCCTCGGCCGAGTCTATGATGTGCCATTCAAGTGTGCGGAGGAGATGTGTGAGGGCCTGGGGCTTAGATTTGCCCCCTTTATACAGGAGGAGCATAGCTTGGCTATCTGCTCTGGAGAAGGTCTATGGGGGCAGGGTAAGATCAGGGTGAGCAGGGACAGGGCCACAGGGAGCCCCTCTCTCCACAGAAAAAGACTCCAAACTCCTATAAATAGTGAGGAGGACTATGGAGGACTAACATGTTATCATATTAATGGTACAATTCATCCCTAAACACAACTGGTGTCCACTGACCTCCCAAACCTCCAAAACTATTCTGCTCCCCTGGATACCTTCCAAAAACAACGGCCCATACTATGTCCAATACTGTCCTCTCATTAACCATTTGGGAGTTTCCCAACGATACTCCTTCAAACTCCCCCCATTGCCCACTGGTCACCGTTATTGGGTGCAGCTTTATTCGAGCCGGGTCTAAGGACCGGTTTATTTTCACGGCGGACCAATAAAGTCCAATAAAGAATTCTCCAATGGAGGTACCAAAACCTTGAAGATACTCGAAGATCTTCGGCTATCCTCCATCGTATGACCCTCAACCCATAAAACATTA